TTCTTTGTACTGGAATGACAGGTTGTGTGATGGAAGGGTGCACAGAGGGGTGGCACTGCTGGTCAACCAGCATGTAGCGTCCTCATCTGTGTTCCTCAATACACCCTTGGAGGCCGTAGCCATCCGTGTTTTCTTGGGTCTTACCATCACTGTTTGTTCTCTCTACCTGTTTCCTGGGGAGACTTATGATCAATCGGACCTTGATGCTCTCATTGACCAGTTACCATCTCCCTTTTTACTTCTGGGAGACTTTAATGGACACAACCCCCACTGGGGTGGTGCTGATATTGATGGGAGGGGTCGTTCCATAGAGCGCATGCTTTCGGATCAGCACCTTTTTCTCTTCAATTCTGGAACATATACTTATTTTCATGCACCTAGTCAGTCTTTTACTGTCATTGATCTCTCAATTTGCTCCCCTTCACTTTTCACTCACTTTTCTTGGATGGTTGACAGTGACCCACGGGGCAGTGATCATTTTCCTATCATTATGAGGGAGGTTGGCCATGGTCGATGCCACCCAACCCGAGTGCCATGGTGGAAGTTGGATCAGGCTGACTGGCCATCTTTCAAATCTCTCTCTCCGAACTTGATCCTGCCTTTGTCTGTCTGTCATTAATAGATGACTGTGTGGTTGCAGTGACTGACTGTATCGTCCAGGCAGCTGCTCATTTTATTCCTAAGACCTCGACAAATTTTTCACGGTATCCACGTCCATGGTGGAGTCCTGCCTGCCAGGAGGCACGGAAAGCTCAAAAATGAGTCTGGGATACCTTCCGACGATATCCCTCTCTTTCTAACCGCATTGTTGAACAGCGGGCCCATTCCCATGCTCGGCAGGTTTGACGTCAAAGCCAAAAGGAGTCTTGGATTAAGTTTACTACTAGCACCTCTTCTACCACCAGTTCCAAAACCATATGGGACAAGATTTGGAAAGTCACTGTGAGGTATGTTTCCTATCCCCTTTCCATCTTGCTCTCCAATGGCCAGGAAGTTGCTGATGTCCAGAGCATTGCTGATGCTCTTGCCCACAGCTTTTTTCGTGCTTCTAGCACTGCTGTTTCTTCCCCTGCCTTCTTGGCCATCAACCCTCAGGCAGAGCGATTGCCTCTTTCCTTTCGGGCCGATCGTCTCTATGATTATAATCGCCCCTTTACACTGGTGGAACTCAAACTTGCTCTTCATCGGTCTGGTAGTACATCAGTTGGACCTGATGATGTTCATTATCAGATGCTGTGCCATCTCACTCCTGCCTCTCTTGCTATTCTTCTGGTTATTTTTAACCAGATCTGGCAGGAGCATGTTTTTATTGATGCTTGGTGCCAGGCTATTGTCCTTCCTTTCTTAAACCTGGGAAGGATCCCAAGATTCCTTCTAATTATCATCCCATTGCTTTGACTAGTTGTCTTTGTAA